ACATTTACCTGCACGACAAGGGGCAATCCGTACGCATCGTATTTACGCATGGTCCCCTTTGGCTTCGAGTGTATTCTGGTGAAGACGTGCACCGTGTCCTCAAAAATCTCCGGCCTCACGGATATATGTTGAAGACATCAAGATCATCAACGATCTCCAGATGGAATAGGTCGATCCCGTCTTCCTATGGTGGCAGTGTAACACACTCTCAAGGATGTAGACCAGGCCGAGCTTCAGTTTATCCAACATATGGTCACACCCCCTGATCGCGTCCAACTGATCCGACAATAGCACTGTCCCCTGTCTCTCAAAGTAAGTGTCATGCAGCCTACTGCCTTTTTGAGTATCGGCACGAGCTGCATCATCACCCGTAATCTCCAGTCCACTTTTCATAGAATTGGTTGCTGAAAATTAAATGTCCAGAGCCAGTTTTGGAGAAAAAAGAAAATACATACATACAAAGAACATTATAACACCCTGAATTCTAGCAATCCAGCATGTTATTAAAATTGAGCTCCTTAACGTTAACTATCAAGTAAACAATTCAGTAAATGTTAGGCCCTGTTCTCTTTGTCGTTTTCCAGCCATTTTCTGTTTTTAATTTTTCAAAACAGTGAAAACCCATTCTCTATCTTATTTTCGAAAACGTGTTTTGAAAAATGAAAAAAAAATAACTGAAAATGGAAAACAATGTAAACATCGTTTCGTAAAATTTCAGCCCAAACCCACTGAAATTAGAAAACACGCAAAATTGGTTCTCCTCTCACTCAACTCTCTCACTCTCCCTCTCTCTGCAAATCCATCTCCAGCGTCAAACCCCCATCCGAAAAACTGAAACCAAGTAGGATCGCGTTGGCCAGGGACGAAGGATTGCTCGACGGGATCTTCGAATTTTGGGGCTGTTTGTTCCGGTGTCGCCGAATCGAAGCCTGAAATAACAGGCAGTTTGAATCAATCCTCAAATCAAGGTTTTGATTCTTTGCTTGTGCTAATTTAGTTATTTTCTTGCTATTACATTTGTGAGTTGTTGGGGGTCCAATTTGCCCTCTGTTTTTTTATTTGCTTGGTGCGGAAATGGAGGTGGAGCTGGTGCTGGAGGTGGAGGTGGGCGTGGAGGTGGAATTTTTGAACAGTTTCTGGAATTGTGATGATCTCGGTTTCTTGTGGTGTTTGAGGTGGAATGGAATTGTTTGAGGTAGAATTGTTAATAGTATTTTCGAGGGACGATATGGAGTCTTGTGGTTTGAATTCGATATCCAGTTGCAGTGGATCAGGTTCGTCTTCTGTAGCTAATTGTCAATTGAATTCGAGGGCCAGGCAGCAGAGAAAGTAGAGGAGATGTTGGTCACCTGAATCGCATCGGCGTTTTGTCAATGCTCTACGACAACTTGGAGGTGAACAAGGTTAGGTCTTATGAAGGCGGTCTTATAAACAATTGTACTGACCATTTATAATCGGAAGCAATTTTTTGCTCATCGTTTGTTAGCTATACTGATCGATAAAAGGTATTACTAATGACGCAGATCGCGAATAAAACACCGCTGGCCTCAGATCGTGCCATATTAAACTGAGGGTTACCTGCTTCTGCCATCACCCAATACTTCTTCACGCGTGACTTTAACCTGTCAAAGTCCATTAATTCGTCTCCTTGTAGTTCCTCTCCCGAAATTCTTGTACTCAATTCGTTGCACTTAAGTTCGGAATACCTTTTACTTGTAAATACCGTTAAAGCAGAAGAACTCAATACAATGAACGCATAAACATTCATAAAGACAATCACCACTTGGAAATCATCTTCAATCACGCCTGTGAATTCTTGGATGAAAACATTCACGGTAAGCGTCACTGTAAGCATACCCAATGCTGTCAAGTTCACTTATATTTCTCTATCCCTCATGGATCCCAGAGAAGGCACGAGACGAGTGGTTGAAACACACAAGAAAGCGGTGCTACTACTATAGGGGCTTGATCAGGCTTGCCTTTCATCGGGATGGTTAGATCCATTGACAACTTCACTGCGACGGCTAACACAGTGAAGGAAGAAACATTGAGAGCAGAATACCTGCAGGGGAACCATAATTTTCTATAGCGGAAGGAGATCGATGCATCAGCCAAAAGTGTAAGAGTCCATATTAAAAGGAATAAATAAGAATTTGCTAATTTGATAAAATAGAATATTTAATTTTGGTAATTATCAAATTAAAATTATTTATGCAATTATACAAATATTATTCAATAACGTAGAATATTTAATTATATAAATATTTATTTAACATTCGATTTATTAAATTATTAATAAAATTTAAGAAAAAAGTGTTTGGGTCGGCTGTTACAGTTTGTTGTTGGCCCGGGACATCCCAAATGACAGTCGGCCCAGTGTCGGCTTTAAATAACCAGCTTTTAACTATCGATCGCTCGACCGACGGTTAAAAGCCGGTTCAACCTTCTATTTATAGTAGGTTTCTTGATAAAACGTGCTATTAACCGTCGATAGCGTGACCGACTGTTTGACAGCCGATTTCGTCGTCGAAAATCGCCATTTCCGACGATGGAAAGCTAAAAAATGAGCTATTAACACATTAAAACACCAAACATTCACCCCGATCACTAACACTCAAGCTGATATAGCATACCTGCGAAATAATTCAAACACAATCTATGCAAAAAGTCGACTGTTAATGGGAAAAAAACTAACATTCATCTTTGTGGTTGTCGGCGCCGGTCTCGGGAACGTCGATTTGTCGGTGTGGTGGTCGGAACCGTCGTTGTGGTGGTCCGTTTTTCTAGCGGGGGAGTTGTCGATTTTTTTCCTTTTTCGTCAGTTTCGTCCCTTCAAGGTGAGAGCGAAGGGTATTTTTGCCTTTCCGTTTTTTAAAAAGAGGTTTTGGCTTTTCTTTTTTTTTTTTTAATACTATTTATTGTCAAAGGCCAAGGTTCAAATATGGTTGATTTTAAAGGCCATTAACACGTATTTCCTCCGAATTAAAGCTACTAAAAGTCTTCCCAAAGACATGACAGTACAAAGAACCATGCCTACATGTTGAGTCCGATAAACAATTGTACTGACCATTTATAATCGGAAGCAATTTTTTGCTCATCGTTTGTTAGCTATACTGATCGATAAAAGGTATTACTAATGACGCAGATCGCGAATAAAACACCGCTGGCCTCAGATCGTGCCATATTAAACTGAGGGTTACCTGCTTCTGCCATCACCCAATACTTCTTCACGCGTGACTTTAACCTGTCAAAGTCCATTAATTCGTCTCCTT